GTCCCTGTGTAAGCACGTAAACCTGTCACACAAAAATCACCGAACTGGGACAAACACTGTTTTCCTGTTCTGTAGACCTGCACAGCAGAGACGATACTCTGATATGTTTTTTGTCTTCACTGTGAGTAAAAAGTTGCTTTTCATGTTTTTTTGTTGTCAAACTGAAACCAAAATATTTTAGTGAGCAGCACAAAAGAATCAGCTACAAATTATTTTAACAAAATGAATTATCTGTACGTAACATCTTCAACTTACATGATACAGTCAGTCCAGGAACTTTACTCCAATATGTTAACAAATAGTCCCTTGTGCCCCGGCAGCTGTATCCTCCACTGTCAAATTCAGTAACTGTGATTCTGTATTCATTGGATGTTGGAGGTGTGTTTAACTTGGCAGGACTCCATTCATACGTCCACTGAGCTCCTTCACGTCTCTGAATCTCACATCTGACAGTGACTGTCTCACCGCTGTATATCTGAGTCCAGGATGGCTGCAGGGTCACAGTGGGCGTAATGGGAACTGTTCACATAAGAATGATCCAGTTAGAAGAGAAACATAAAAACTCTGCTGTTTATAACATAAGAGTAGAGTGACTGCAAAACAGCTGGTTCACAGAGAAACAAGTTAAACATAACAAAAAGTCACAACATAAAAGTTTCAAACTGTAACACAATATTTTCAGTAAAATGTTAAAGGTAAAGTCTTTACTTTAGTTTTTGTTTAGATTCCAAAAATTACAGATTATTTTTCATGAGTTGACAGCAGATTAAGAAGACTGGAAGAAATTATGTGAGAAATGTTTTCTAAAAGTTGTGATGAGGTCATCATGTGAAACTGGTGCAGTTGCTGATTTGGGACATTGGAGAGTGTCACACTTGTAGTTATTGTATAACAAACAGGTTATTGTGGCTCTGACTGATTTTTCATGAACTGAACCTTAAACCACTGATCCACTAATGCATCTGTTCTACACTGGAGGTTCTTCTAGCTGTCGTATCATTAAACATATTATGACACTCATGAACACCTTTATTTTTCATTAATTAAAATAACTGAATGCCATTAACAGTAATTACAGGAAAGAATCTAAGTGGAACCTGTAATGTAGCAGAACAGTCTCTAATAAAATGAGGTTATATTGTAGTCAAATCTGAAACGTCGAGGAATTAATGTAAAAATGCTAAAAACAAAGGAAGTAACTGATCTGCAGTGATAAACTGCACATGTGCAGCCATGAGGTCAAGATGGGACAGACTGGGATTATTACATTTGGACTGAAATCTTTCATCAAACTAACAAAATATTTTCCAGATGTTTCACTGAGTGATTATTAAATATCTTTATAATGATACGAAAAGATATTTGAAACTACTTTTGATCCTAAACACAAAATAAACCTACAGTGCTGTTGAAAGACAAAGTGTTTGGTTGAGTTGATGAAACATTGTTCAGTACAAATTAAAATATGTGAAATATGTCCAACTCACCTGTTACTCTCAATGAGGTGCTGTCACTCCACTCTGTCCAGGAAGAACTTCTTGTGGCCCGACAGCTGTATCCTCCACCATCAGACTCATTAACACTGTTGATTGTATATACACTTGATGTTTCACGTATGTTTTTCTGGCCTCCTCTCCATTCATACGTCCACTGAACTCTTTCCCCTCCATGAATCTCACATCTGACAGTGACTGTATCACCGCTGTATGTCTGAGTCCAGGATGGCTGCAGGGTCACAGTGGGCTTAGGAGGAGCTGATCAAAGAGAAAATATCCCATCATCAGACTTATAGAAATATAAAATGATCATTAATGCTTTCCTGGTTTTATTGCTCTTGTTAGTGGTAATCAAAAATTTTTCATCCCAGTGACAATTTGACTGAAAATAAACAATAAAAAGGTAATAAAAAAAAATCAGATTAAACCTGGTAATTTGCTGATATTTAGAATCTACCAGCAGAGTGACTGAAAACAACCAGGTGTGCACAAAACTAAACTGTGCGACTGAACATCAACACATCAACACACAATATCATGTAAACAACTTCAGTCTCTCAGATTGTACATTGTAAAAAAGAAGTTTTATACTCAAACATCGCACTATTTACTTATTTCTACATCGTTACATTTGCATATTTATACATTTATGAGCATATAATCCAGAGTTGTCGGTGGGCTGTTATTCTTCTGAATAACCTGAGACCTTACTTTCCTGTCAGGTATAAAATCCCTAACATATTATACACAATATCCATTTTACTTTAACTGTTTTCAACTAGGGCTGCCACAAACGATTATTTTGATAGTCGACTAGTCAGCGATTA